CAAGAACAACAACAACAACAACAACAACAACAACAACAAACAACAACAACAACAACAACACCAACAACAACAACAACAACAACAACAACAACAACAACAACAACAACAACAACAACAACAACAACAACAACAACAACAACAACAACAACAACAACAACAACAACAACAACAACAACAACAACAACAACAACAACAACAACAACAACAACAACAACAACAACAACAACAACAACACAACACAACACAACACAACGACAACGACAACGACAACGACAACGACAACGACAACGACAACGACAACGACAACGACAACGACAACGACAACGACAACGACAACGACAACGACAACGACAACGACAACGACAACGACAACGACAACGACAACGACAACAACAACAACAACAACAACAACAACAACAACAACAACAACAACAACAACAACAACAACAACAACAGCTAACAACAACCAACATAACTGCAACCACAACCACAACAACCGCAAGCACAAGCACAATCACAACCACGACATCAATAACAATAATAACAACAACAGCCACCACCACCACCACCACCAACAACAACTACAACAACAGCAACAACACAACCACAACCACAACCACAACCACAACCACAACCACAACCACAACCACAACCACAACCAACACCACAACCACAACCAAGGGTCCCTCCTCAAGTTGTGTGAGAGAGACCGCGAGCAGAAGAGCAAGACACTTTGATGCATCAGTAGCAACTCCATCCATCACTTCTGGGCAAAACAGCGAGGAAGTTACAAACAAACAACAGCACGCGGTCACACGTCCGCAGCTAAAGAGAGAACTTGAACAAACGGAGGAAAGACAAAGACCTGTGCTCAAGTTGTGTGCAGACCTTCCCAAAGGAAATAATGCAAACAAAAGAGAAAACAAGAAGCATCAGCACAACGGGATTGAGTGCATCAGTAGCACCCCAGTCCATCCCGCACACAAAGCTTCTTCACTACGTCCATTGCTACACGCACTGCGCGTGTGAAACACATGCAAGAGAACCCACACCCATCTTTGCTCATTGCTATTGCCGTCCTGCGGAAAAGAGGCGTACATGTGTAGAAAGCAGGCCTGCAATGTCGGCGGTCTGAGCCGGGAGCCTTAACGGAAGGGAACAAGCACCCCTGATTTACAATGTTTTCCTCTGGCTTTGTGGTTCAGTGTAAGTGGCTTACTCGTAGTGTTCGGGGCATCCACTGTGTTGCTAATTTCGTGTGGTGGTGCAGGTGCACCCAACCCGAGAGAAATGGTCCACCCAAAAGTTGTCTGCAGTGTCTATTTCTCTGCTTGCTTTCAAGGAATCGCCTCCATTTGCCCGAAAAAGCTCTGTGCAGCCGAGTGGCTTCGTCTTGTGGTGGAACATTTCCATGGCCATGTACCTACGGCTCATGAAACAAAGTGCGAAGGCAAGCACATCGGGAGCCCGCAATTGCAAGGTGCATAGGCTGTGCCACTTTGGCTTATGGCGAACGAACACTTTAGCTTACCGAAATAGCCTCCTTGATGGCCCGTGGCGACTCACAAGTTCCGCTTCATCGATCCCAACCGGCGGGAGTGGATGTTGTAACCATCCACATTGCTCCAACTAAATGTGCGTCGGCATTGTCTGACCCCAATGGTGGCTTTCCCTTTGGTTTCATCCATTGGCTGTCAAAAACACCGGTGGTTTTCATCCGGTGGCTTTAGAGTTTGGTTTCATCCGGTGGCTTTAGAGTTTGGTTTCATCCGGTGGTTTTAGAATTTGGTGTCATCCGGCGGTCTTCTAAAACGGGTCTCAACAAAAACATGAGCCACGCCATGCCGGCTTCGATTCCGAAGCCGCACCCCGCAGGCCAACCGCCGAGCGCCGCAGTGCTCTGCAGGGTCTTTTCGGGCACGCGCCAGCCGTGGTGAACTGCCTGGAAGGCTTTTGGGGGTTGTGGCTAAACTGAAGTGCGGATGCCCCGAAAATCGCAAGTACAAACCACAAACCCAAAACCATGAAAATGCGAGAAAAAAAAAACATATTCGGATTCCTTGTTCTCCTACTTGCAACATTCAGGACATCTATGGTAATGTCCTCAAACCTGGGTGGGCACAACTCCCCAAAAAAATGTCCGCCAAATGGTATTCGACAGCATTCCTGCTTGGAGAATGCAAAGGCTCAATGCGAGCTTTTATCACAAAGGCTTCTCTATCTGGGACAATTGTGATGCCCTAACAAACTGGGAACCTCAAAAAGGGCATTTTGAGGTCCAAACCCTTCCAATCTGCAGCTGCGTCCTCAAACTGGAGAAACCACTTGACTGCTTGGAAGCGATGTGAATTCGCCGAAAGGGTTTGGATTTGGGAGGGTCAAGGAGTCATATGCAAGGAACCCCAGTGGAGCCGCGGCTACTTTGACAACCCCCAGTGCACTCCGGGCGCTTGGGACACACAGGCAGGCGCATACGCAATGAATAGTAGCCAGCAGTGAAGTCGGCCTAATGTCGCAGAACTCCCAGTGGAACCGCTCAGGGGTGCTTGAACATGCAGGCAAGTGCATACGCAAGGAATAGTGGCTCGCGGAGCCGGCGCAAGTGTTCGACAGTAACCCCTCCGGTGCAACTCGCGCTAGAAGAACTTGACTTGGCCTTAGGCACCAAGCCAACGATGCTTGCATCTCAATGCGAGTGACTGCCTGCTTTGCATGAGATACATGGGCCTTGCGCGGCTGCCTCAACTTTCGTGCTTGAAGGCACAGTCATCTGGTCAGGTGCATCTTAGAATGGGGAACCTTCCACAAACCAGGTTTCAGCTTGGGTTCCCCTTTTACGCCACTCCCCAAAAAGTACCCTCCAACACATACCCATCTGCGCCAAGGTGAAGGCGTCTCCAGCGCAGGCTGGCGTTGGGGCTGGCACCCCCCCCCCAATCGAGGGTCCTTTCTGATGATTCGGGTAGCATGCGCGTTGCCTGATACTTGTCGTACCCGAACAGGGCCACGGTGGCCACATTCACCATGAGGAGCGCTCCCTTGGCAATGGCAGGGTCCTCAAAACGGTGGAACCCATGTTTGGTAGGCGCAGGAGGAAAGCAGCCACTTTGAGGGACGATTCTGAAGCTTGGAATGCTCTTGAGGCAACTTGGGCTGCCGCAATCATTCCCACGATCCCCGCCGTCTTTGCCCCGGCCAACAAAGACGATGCCATGTTGGCGAAGTCGGCTCCGGCAGCCGACATGGCGATTGAGCACTCACTCGTCACGGAAAGATGGTACACCTGGTGCGGAAAGCCAGTTTGCAATGCTTGGTTCTTGCGGAACATTTGAGGCCTTTGCAGTGCTTGGCGAATGGCATCTGAGGCCACACAAAAGATGTAGTTTTTAGTCAAAAAGTGACTCGGTGAGTGCGCATGGTCCATGCTTGGTTCAGTCGATCCATTGGCAAAGTGCATGAGCCGAAAGCTTGCGTAGGCCTCAAATGTCGATATGTTCGCCCATGTCCTATTTTGACGTGTCTCAACACAAAGGCACCTCTTGAGCATCTGATCTTCAGGTATGCACCACATGTGCGCCTGATGGAGATTTGCAAGTCCATGGAGTCACCTCAACCCACGTCTCCACGGAGCAAAAATCGCCGCATCTTGCCGAGCTTGGGACATGCCAAAACCTGCGAGGCCGAAGACGTTGGGAAAGAGATGGTCAAAGGTCCAACCTACAGTCCGACAATCAAAGGGACGCGCGCGCACAAGCGCCCCCTGGGAGATGCGTGGGTGAAAAAAAGGGGACCAAGCCAAGCCTGTGGCACATGGCGCCTACGGCTTGATCTCCACCATTTTTTCGGGTGCCTCTGAGGCCTATGACGGAATTCTGCACGGAGAGCGCAAGGGTGGCAGCCGCGCCGCCACTCGAAGCACCCCCGAAGGGCGGCACAATGGTGTACCTCTGTGCCATCGAATCGAATGGAGAGTATAAGACTTGCAAAGACACACACAGACACAGAAACAGCCAAATTGATGATACAAACAAGCTCTGAGAGAGAGCATGTCAGTGGGCTTTGCAACTCGTGTAATTTGTTGAACCAGCTTTTGAGCATGAGCATAGCCAGGGGCACGCTTCAGGCGCTGCCACGAATTGAGTTCGTGTTGCCCATGTCATCGTCATAGTGAGAACTCCCTTCGTGCCTCAGGCAACGACCTGAATGCTGGCCTCATACCTTTTTTGAAAGTCCCTTTAAGCTATCAATGAATCGTGCCTCAGGCAACGACCTGAATGCTGGCCTCATACCTTTTTCCCCATTGACCCTAATAACCGGATAACAATTAACTTAGTCACCTCAGGAAGAGGACCCTGGCTTGAGTCTTCCCCCGCCTTCAAGAGGAATCCAAGCATGTTCATCGCAATGCCGCAACGTCTTCAGGACAAGAGAAATGTATATGTGTAAAGACCCTTTCACTTCGGTTGGGAGGGGAGCCAAAAGGAAAACCACTCGTTTGTGGCTGGTCCCCTCATGACACATGCATCCACATATATATATATATACATATATATATATATATACATATATATATATATACATATATATATACACTATATATATATATACATGTGTGTTATGAAAGCATACAGAAAATGAAAACCGCAAGCATGAAAAGTGGATGAACCCGGCCTGGTATGACTGCGCGGTTCTCTGCGTCGAGTCGAAGGCGAAACTCTGTGATGGGATCTGGGCTGGAGACCTCAGTCTGTGAGCCATGGAACCCTCGCCCCACTTTTGAAATGGAGCAAGACTGCTGGCAACTTGGACACCTTCAACCTCAGGGCGACCAAAGTTTCCTTAACACGACAGCAAACTTTCATTTGATCAAAGATTCCTTAACCCTCATAGTTGTCTAAAACCTCCATTTCATCTCGTGAGTTGATGGCCATGGCAAAAAACGACGACGAAGCGAGCGGAGGCTTTGACCATTTCGATGTCAGCCCGATCGCAAGCGCCCGTCAGGCCTTGCTCAGCTTGCAGCCCCGGTCCTCGAAAACGTCTACCTGAGCGTCTGCACCCCGGTGCTCTTGTGGGCTTTCCTGCTTCTTTGGTTCAAACCTTGCTGGTGCTCAGTAGGGAATGAGGGAATGACCCTTACAAAGCATTCAACTGGTTTCCTTTTTAGGGGACCCCTGGGTTCATTCCCACATTCCCTACTGAGCACCCCAAGAAACCGAATGCCATCAGAAAGCCGGCGGACAAAGTGAGTGTTCCCTAACCAGGCATTTTGTCCGTAGGTGGAATGCCAGTGCATAGGTGACCTTTTGGCTAGAAATAGATGGATTTCAAGGTTTCCCTGCTAAAACGAATGAAGGTAATCTAGACTGGAGCCCATCTACTTCCTTGCCCAAACTAACCCATCAAAAGGACTTCTATGTGCCAGAACGGGATTCCCTGAAAGGGAAGCAGAGGGCATGGTTTTTCTCGGGGTCATTCCATTTCTCATTCCCTGAAAAGGACACCTATGCGCCAGTGGTTTCCATCACTCCCAAGACCATGGGTCCAAACCAATGGTACCATTTTGGGGTAGGTGCACCACCTATTTTTGTCTATGTTAGAGGCTGGATTCGGATGTTCACTGGGAGTACGATTTGGATTTTGAAAAGCCCATGGCCAGGTGAGCCCAGTGGGGCGACTGGGACGCGCGCGCGGAAGCGCGCGCCTGTGCTTCAGAAGCGAAGCCAGGCGCCCAGGTGCAGCGAGTAACGTCCCGTGCCGCGAGCTCTGGGGCGATGACCAGGAGGTCCACCTGGCTGATCCCCCCACTGGGTGTCCTTCCACCTGGCTCTTTGGAGGTGGCTCAAAATGAAACAGCTGGGCAAAGCGCAGGTTTTGGTCCATGTTTCCACTTAGGGTTCCATTTGGGTACCGTTTTGTTGAGCCACATCCATTTCTGTGCGTTTAGGGGGTTCCTTCCAGGGCTCAAAGGGGATACCACCTCAAAGAATAAGCTCAGGTGATATCCCCGACTGCATGCAGTGCTCTTTTTAGTGCTCGCACCACCCCGCAGCCCTCGCAGAACCCCATGGAACCCCGTGGAACCCTTGTGGAACCCTTGTGAAACTTTGGTGGAACCCTCGTGGAACCTTACCTCAGGGCCGCCCCGGACCACCCCGGAGCCTATCTGGGCTGAGACCCCAAAGCTTTCAGCTGTTGGGGAAAACAAACTCGAAAATGGGATGGATGTGTGCTGTTGGTGTTCCTTCAAAGCAGCCTTCAGGGTACCCTCAAAAACCACGAGCCACAGTCGAATACGATTGTTGCCCCGGGTTATTGGAAATTTCGTAAGTACCCGGTGTTTTGTGGGAAACCACCATTGTTCAAAGAACCTCCTTTTGCTTTTCTTTCACGCGCCCATCTGCGACAACAGCCTTTGAAGGGGAGCAGGGGTTGATTGCTTTCAACATAGGCGCATCCCTGCCACAGGGAACTCCTAAACGCAGATGCTTTTCTGCAAATCTTTGGGCCAAAGTCTACCTGGAGGGAAGCGAAAATAAACGGAACCAACAAATGCCTAACTCCCACGGTTGGTCTCGTCTGTGGATACCCAACATCCTGCATCCAATAAAAATGGAGACCTGGGAGAAGCCCGGCTACTGCAAACTTGTCGATCCACAGTGAGAGATCCTCTCCAACTCGACGGGGTAAAAGGATCCAGTTCAGTTGCCCTGATTCAATGCCAACTCCCTAGAGGGTTGCGGTGTTAAGAGGCTAGGGCCAGGGACTAATGGCGGCCAAGGGCCAAAGACCCAACTCTCTCGGGGAGTCATTGCAGCCAACAAAAAGCGGGCACCCTCCCACCAATTCACATAGACTCTGTCGTTTTGGGGTCCTGGTTGGGACCACTTTCCTTTTAAGGGGACCGGGTCCCGAACGTCAGGTTCTGGCTGTGAACTGGTGGGAGGGTAAACATTGACTTTCTAGGGCACACTTCCCCATGCTTTCCAGGGATCCTTCTTTCCAGAAAACCATCAGAACCCCAGAAAAAAAGAAGAAGAAACAACAACAGCTGGTTGTTGAAAAGAACGATGGTTGAAAAAAATGGACAAAGAATCAACCCCTAAAACAATTGCAGGTTTTGAGGTTTTGAGAATTCCTTGGTAACAACTGCAATTTGAAGAATGGGGAATCAACCCCTAGAACATTGACATGTTATACAGGGGCCAGGCCTTGAAACAGCTTCGGGGTCCCAAAAATCGCATCCAGGGAGCCCTGGCCTCGCTGGCCCAAAGTCCGAGGGAGAAGGCGAGCCTCGGGGGAAAAAAAAAAAACACGTGGCGATTAAACAAGCCGCCGGGTTTGACACACACACACAAAAAAAACAAAACATACCACATATATATATATATATATGTGTCTTCGTACACACACACATGAGGCGATGGCATGGAGTAGCGCAGTGCTACTTGGACGTGGCCGGGACATCAAAAGTTGTACCACAGGTACTGCTCACGCAGTGCCGTGGAGACCACAACAAGTCCGGCTATACATACACATATGTACCTATGCACATACATAGTATGTGCATTATGACTATTATTATGTTCTTGGTTGTTGCTGCTATTGTCAGTGTCATCGTTGATAGTACTATGATTATTAGTCATATTATCATGTGTATTATTTTTGTTATTCATATGATAATTCATATTACAGTTATTGTCTGTGCTATTGTTGTTAAATTATTAGTGCCATTAGTATGACCATTATTGTTGTCATGGGTTCTGACAAATGGGCTCGATTCAGATGCTACACACATGAGTGTCCTTTGGTGCAAGCTAGAACCGTTTGGGATCCACTGCAATATATTATTGTCTATGTACACTATATTACATCTGTACAATATACATATTACACACACACACTAGATATTAGATATGCACACATTATCTTGCCTCAGAATATAGGAATGCTCCGAAGGAGTAGATTCCCTTAGTTTCCCCATGTAAAAAGCAAACAACGAGGAAACACGACACACCCGAATGCTCGGCTATGATGGTGGCTGATAAGGATGAGCGAATTGGACCAAGGATCTCGAAGACTGTGCTCTCTGCAGATGCCTCGCAGGCAAAATCGCAGCACTTCCAAGTGTTTCCCCCCTTGTGTTTGACGGGAACTGAACCGTGGGTGTCTGCAATCGCGTCGCAGAGTGGGCGTTATCCCTTTGAATTTCCTTTCCAAACAAAGGACCCAACAAACTGTAACGTACATGGCCATGTCGAAATCACGTACCCCCAGTGAACATCCCAATCCCCGCTAAAATAGGTTCTGAAATGGGTGAATTCACCTACCCCAAAAATGGGCACCATTTGGTCAAGGCCCCAGGGCACAAAAGCAATATTTCCAGTAGTGATGAATTCCTTTTAAGCCCAACAAGGCAGAAAAACAACATATATATATATTCTTAAGCACATGGGGGACATTTTGTTTCTCCGGTGAGTTGCCCTGGACCTCCGCGCCTGCACTGCTGAGCTCACCAGCCGCAGCTGGGCGGGCGGACGGAGCGCCAGGACGTCGGAGGCCAAGGACAGAAGACCTGCTTCGATGGTCTCTGATGGCAATAGAGACAGTCTCGAAACTAAGATGTTTCTGGCGAAGGTCATGGCAAGAAAGCTGGCTGGAAGAGTCCGTTCTGCGCCAAACGAAAGGAATGAAGGAAACAGTCAGCTGGCTATGGGGCAAAACCAATGGGATCCCATTTTGGGGTAGGTGAATTCACCACCCATTTTAGGACCTATTTTAGCGGTTGGATTGAATCGGATGTTCACTGGAAGTACGGGATTTATTTACGATTGGCCAGAGGAATCGCTACATGGTTGGTAAGCCTAGTTACAGGGGACTTACAACCATTGAAAGTGGGCTACAACCAGGGAAAACAAGGGCCGGACTCCGCCATGGACTCCTCTAAACGGGCATGGGACATGCGAGCCTGCTATGTGGAAGCTTACTCCCATGCTATTTGTGTTGCGAACCTTAGACTGGACGTGTCAACCGCATCTCAGAGGTTTTGAGATAGGATTTGCCACACGTATGCAAAATGCCAAGCTTCAGCTTTCTTTAGCTACAACGTTCCCGGACATGGGCGGTTTCCTTTCGGTTTCCCTGGTCCGCCAGCAAAGGCTCAACAGATACATAAGTGCCCACCAGAATCTGTAAACATGCGTTCAGCCGAAGGAAACTAAAGGTTCATGTTAGGTTGTCCCTTTTGTGCTCCTTTAAAACCAACAAAAAGGGAGTTCCACCAAAAGAAAGGCACACGCCCGCCCGCCAGCCGGGTCCCTTCCCTGCCTCCCCCAGAAGTTTCCAGCAGAAATGCCCAGTCAGCTGAAAGGCCAAAGCCAGGCAAAGGAAGCAGCAGCCTCAGTCCTCGGCCAGAGCGGACCACGTTTGCCTGCTTCTCAGTTACATGGCTGTGGGTCAAAAATGGGTACCCACAATGGAATCCTGGTAAATGGAAACATAGACTAAAACCTGCGGTTTGCTGGTGGTTTCATTTTGACCCACAACCCCACCTCGTGGCATGGTTCTGAGAGGAAGCCAAAAAAGGACACCAAGAAGAAACAAACCAAAGAGGTCCCGAATTTTGAGAAACCACGGCTTGTCAGTGCCAAGATTGTTGCTAAGCGACTGTAGCTCTGGTCTTCCCATGCACCAGCCTCTTCGGCCACACATCTGATACCTTACGTCGGGAGCAAATGAGCTAGCTAAATCACCTATCCAACTTATGGCCTGCCCGACCCCCTCAATAGTGCTTGCTGAGTGCAAATTCCCACCATGATGTCCACCAAAGGGTCCCCATTCAAAACTCGAACATCTGCAATGATAAGGCAATGTCTGAAATGGCTCTAGACGACAACAGGCACCACTAAGCTCCTGTATGTTCACCATGCGTCACCTGTGCAATCGAGCCGCCATTCACAGCAATTCCACCAAGCTTCTGCCAAGTGCAGTATACACTTCCAGCCAAGTCAGTGAAGAGCAAGCGCGCTCCGCCGGCAACTGTCAGGGCTTACAAACAGAGATCAAGCCCAACTCACTCCAAACAAATCTCAGTGCATGACCACCCCTGCACCAAATGCTGCATGCTCTTTGCCGTATGCTGCATGAGTCTAACCAGTGCCTTCAATGGAGGATCCTTCCGTCGCATTCAGATCAAAGGGCGCCAAGGGGATGGGTACAAAGGTCAAGGCCTCAGTGTGTTGGCTCAGTCGTGGCCTTTACCTACCCACCTTCTGCCCTTTAGAGGCTTCCCTTCCTGTAGGTGAAGGGGATGACAAGACCAACTTGCGTCCCCTTAAACCAACCAAAAAGGGGGTGCCTCCCCCAAAAAAAGACAAACCCAGCTACTTTCACCCTGGTGCGCTTGCACTAAGCGCGCGGCATCGCCTGCTTTGGCTACAGGCGCCCGGAAGGTGAGCTCTAACGTGGTCCAAGAACCTGCATCCACAGAAGAACATGCACCTCAAAAGCCCACGGGGAAGCTCCTGAGTCTCAATCAAAACCCGGTATTAAAATGGTCGTAATCCCAGAACCATGTAAAGAATTAAGAAGGCGGATATCCGCAACTACTTCTGGCTGGGACTGCCCCTTACTAAGCTTCATCTACCCGAATCGGTTTTGATTGTGGCTCACATGCACCTAATAAACCCACGGGGAAGCTCCGATCGCGGCCCCCCTTCTTTTCGGGGGGTCCATGCGGTCCATGCGCAGAAAAGTCAAGGATTCGGCCCTGAATGATCGGGATTCCCACCTGGCAAACAAGGATCACTTCCGGGGTGTCGTTCAGAAATCCAATATTCCCATCACCCCAGTCTCAGGGTTTCGTCTGTACTGGGCTGTCCTCAGATCCGCTCAAACTTTGAGTCTTAGTGAGTTGAATGCGAGAGGAGAGCGACACCTTGCGACACCTTGGCGCCACTTTGGCCCAAAAAGTGCGGATTATGCCTCCGTTTCGGGCCAAAACCTGTTAAATGGACATCCAACCACTAAACACTCAAAGGCTGAAAAAAGCTAAGGAGCCGGATGGCTGGGCCGCATGGCTGGGTCCAAGTGCGTGTTGCGTTGCCCGCCTGGCTCTGCGAGGCCCAGGTCCGGGGTCACCGCAGCTGAAAAGCTGCCGGAAGATGGCAGCTGCCCTGGGCTGGCGGTTTTTCGGGCCCCGTTTTTGGATAGGGAAGCCCAACTTCAAGAAGGACACACGCAAATGAGCCAGTGTCAAAATGACTTCTCGGAGCATCCAGAACTCCCGGTACCGTAGCTTCCCCTCTCCCTCTTCAAGGGCAAACTTTGGGTAACGGCCCCCTTCCAACCTCTGGAACATCCGGAGACATCTGAACCAAACTTTTTTCGCGCGGGTCGCCCACGGCATCGCCGAGCTGCGTTTCAGAGGCAAGGCGCCGGGACCTTCCACGTCCTATGCAACATGGACTCGGAGCTGGCCCACAAGTGGCTTTGGTTTTCCTGGTGGCTTCCCTTTAAACCAACCTCAGAGGATACCCTTGAAATTAAATAAACGGTTTGTGTTGTTGTTGAGGGTACCTGAGGTACCATGGAACACCAAGAACAGAACCACCCATTCGGTGTCCCTTGGATTAGCTGGCACATGTCCTTCACGCCATAGTCGAAGGATGCTTGCACACCTCTCAGGCAAACGGCTCCAAGAGCCAGTCGTTTTTTTTTTTTTTTTACATTTATCTTATTTTACTGTTTTGTTTTGCTGTTGTGTTCTTTACTTTTTTGTTTCTCTACTGTTGTCGCTTGTTGCTTTTGTGTTGTCGTCTTTCGCGGTGTTGTTTTTTCCGCCATTTTGGGAGAACCCTGACTGCTTTCAGACCCCACTGCTTTGCCAGGTTTGATTCCCCAATTGGCAAGTAGCCAGAGCTCATTCGGGCTGCCCCCTTTTCCTTCCGCTTCCTTGGAAAACAGCAAGCCACGCGGGTCCCGTTGCTCCCGAGGCACTTTTCCTCATGGCAATCTGGTGCCTGCTACTCACCTCCTGAACAGCGCAAACCTCTGAAAAAGGTCTCACAATTTGACACTCAGTGCCAATGGGGTGCATTTTTGCTCAGAGACACACTTTGCCCAAGTGCATTTCCTTCGAACATCTGCCAAGCGCCGGTCCTTCCTTTTGGCTGAGCAAAACATGGACCCAAGCGTCTTCAAGCAAGGAGGCCTCCAGCTGTCCAGTGCAAGGCCAGCGCAAACTGCCAGCGCTGTGTTGAGTTCTCACATCCAGTGAAGAAGCTGCGTGCTCCAGTCTCGGGGCTTCCGCCACCTGGAACAGCCGATCGATTCGACTGGGGCTGCTGGCAGCACTTTGCATAGATGCTGCAACTGACGAAAAGAAGGCCTAAAGCCGACAATGCGCTTACAGAAGCTCGACAATCTGGCCTCTAGATGGCCACAAGGCGACTCTTTTTGCAAGGACTGGAATGGCATTCTGTGAGTACACTCCCCTGTTTTGTTGAGGTAATTGCCCTGCTGGCTCGGATGACGCGGCCGACGCGGCTCGACGCGGCCTGGGCAGCACGCGCCCGCGGTGAAGGTGTAGCACATGGCCCCAGAGATGCTGAAGCCGCCGCAGCCCGAAAGCGAGCTGCACAGGGATGCCTTGGCCATGAGAAAGCTCACACGTCACTGGACGAAGTCCATTTCACTTCTAAGAAACCCTGGAATGATATTCCCCTCACAATACCAACAAACAATAGTGTCGTATGGTTTCGAGCTGGTGCAGGATTTTGTCCATACACAGTATCTCCCGAAGTGCTGAAAGGGTCCAGACAGGCACACCCGCACTCACACAGTTTCAGAGTGCCAAGGTTCGAATGACTTGCAATCGAAGCCAAGGATTCAAGAGGCTTTCCGAAATGCAGAGAACCGGCATCTACCCGCCGGGTTGTTGATTCTTGCTCACCTCAGTTTACCTGTGCTCCACTGGGTTTCTTTACAAGAATGATCGTGGCTTCCGAGTTTCTTTGATGTAAAACCCCGAGAATAAAATTGACACTTGCCTCAAGCGAGCCCTTTTTAACTGAACCCCTCCTTTGCATATCCTTGTTCTGAGCCCCCTGGGCCCCCAAGCCTAATAGGGGCTGATAGCTTCTAATAGGATCTACTCGCAACTAATACTGTGGATGGACGAAATCCTGCACTATGTTGAAACCATGAGAAACCATTACTTGTTCGTCTTTACGGGAATCAGCGTTGTAGGGTTTCTTGGTGGTGCAGGATTGAGTCCATCCACAGTAGCTCCTATCGGGGTTGAATTCGACTCGATCAAAGGCTTCGATGCCGGGCGACGCACTCCGAGACTGTGGCCAGACTTTGGGCTGCCGAAGGCGCGCCTGTGCAAACCGTCCTCAGATGACTCTGGGCTTGTGGATTCACTCGGATTTGTCTTAAAATAGGGCCCTCCAAATGACGGTTGTCCTTTTGACTCAGACTTAAAAACCCAATCCAAAAAAGCGTGTCTTCAACGAGAAGACACACCCACTTGCGGGTCTTTTGGGGCTGTCCATTGCTTCCGTGCGTGAACCATATACAAGGTTTGGAGCAAACGAAGCAGTTGCCCCTCGCCGAACAAAGGGCTCGCCCCACGGCCTTGCTTTGCCACAATGTGCAAGAGGACATCTCCCCGCAAGTGGTTTGTTCGTGCTGCGGCTGGACAGCTGCATCATTTTGCTAGCGTCTCCTCCTTCTTTGACAGCAGTTATGCCATTTGTAACGTGTTGATTTGATCTTCTGATAGTTGGGATTTCGACTTGTCTTTCGCCTCCACCAGGAAAGGAGGTAGCTGCGGGTTTGCACAGAGGACCTCAACTGGGTCACCAAAACCTTGATCAAGTTGAGGCTCCAAGAAGCCAACCCTCGGGGAAAGAGAACACATTTGGGGTATGTTTGGTACACGGTTCCAAATATTTGGGCGTCAACCGGTTACTTGACGCCCATGTCAACCGTTGATGGCAACTGTCTGACCGTTCAGGCAAGCCTCTCGGCGGCGTTCATGGTGTAGCCACCGATCTCCGTCTCAAACTCTGGGCATCCCATGGCAGCGTTACTCACCTCGGCGCAGAGAGACTGAGCAACTTTTTGCCAGTCCAGTGATTCGCATGGGTAGGTTTGTTGGGAACCTGTCAGACCTGGAGGCTTTTGATCCGCATGTTTGGGGTTTCAGGAAAAGCCGCCTGGTTTCCAAGAATTCTCAAGGTCAAGCAATGGATTGCAGGGTTGATCACGGCAAACTAATGAGGAGGATGGATTCCGGGCGCTCGCCTCGCAGCTGTAGCAGTCGATGGCCAATTTTCCTGCTTCGCAGGCTGCCAAGGTATCGAAGAGGTGGCAGGTTGTAGTATCCTGGCCGTAACTGGCGTCACTTCACCTCTCTTGAGGTAGGGAATTACGCGGGCCCTCGATCAGAAATCAAAGAAATCAAGAATTCTACTTGGCTCATGTGTGAAAGGTACTGCAGGCCGGCCCTCCCTTTGCTAAGTGTTTGGGGGTGGGACTTGAATGTGTTGAGAATCCGAGCCATGGGCCCTTTTCATATGGCCGTGTCCTGCTTTTCTTTAGGGCACCTCCCCCCCATGTTTTTGTGGTTTGAAAGGGAAACCAAAGGGAACACCTCCCATTTTGGGGGTCCCCAGTAAAAAGACACCATCCTATCTTTTCGGCTTGGGCCTCAAATTTGAGACTGGCAATACTCAGCTATTGGCCCCACTCAAGGCCATGCCCCCAAATCCCACCAAAGCGAAACTTTTGGCTGTTGGCTGTTTGGGGGAGTCATATTTGAAGAGGGTCCCACATTAAGGGTGGGACATAAGCCCCGTATAAGCATGTTGGTAGTTGGGCGCAGTCCAAGTTGCACAGACCGTGCCCTGACGCCTAGATTGTCCAGGTGCGCAGCCCCAAGATACCCGCAGCAAACAAATGACGTGTCCAAACCACTGACCTAACTCTGAGTTTACCAAGACAAGCACCAAAAAATTACGTTTCTGACTTGAACGGCGCTACCTCGTGTGCCGGGATCGTAAAGGTGGCTCAACAGGGAACCCCCCCAACAAAACAACTGGTTTCCCTTCACCTTCCCCTTTAAACCCGCAAACAAGCACCCTCCAGCACACATTTTTTTTTGTCTGGAAGCTCTGGATTTCCTCAAGTCCGGTCGCCTATGCGCAGGCGTCTATGACATGTTTCTTGGGCGCTCCCCTTCTCCCGCTGAATTCCGGTCAGGTCCTGGCGGCAGCACTTGTCAAGGTCGGACTCCAGCTCGCTCCCGGAGCCTGCTTCAAGCGACAAAAAGGGCCCGAGCAGACACCTGCGAGCCCGGAATCCACCTCCGCTCACGCTGATGGTTTCAAGCTGTTGGAAGCCAATCTCAGCTACCGGATGATCTGGAAAAGTCGAATCAAGGCATTACGCGTGAAAAATACACATTGGGTCCCCGAAAAATCGGGGGAACAGCACGAGTTGCAACGCGTGCACTTGGAAAAGAAGCTCGGATAAAAAAGGTGGCGAAACCTTTTGGACATGATTTCGCATAAGGATTTGTGTCCACCAACCCTTTTTGAGGGTATTTCCCCCCCAAAAAAAGTTAACATTGTGACTTCTTTTTTTGGAACCTTCCCTCGACGGAATCCCAAACGACACCTAGTTTGGACAGGCCCAACATCACCCCTCCAAAGGAAACTCACCTTACAAACACCCACAAGCACGTTTTTTCACCACAATCTGAAATGTAGGACTCCACTGAAATTTCTGGGCCAAATGGGTTCTTAAGGACCATTTCTTTCTTCTCAAGTTGCTTTGCTTCAATGGATAGGGGAACCCAAAAGGAAACCTGAACGCACTGGTCCAACTAGTGAGCCCAATTCTAACGTGTCGGGGCGCTGGTCTCGTTGAGCCGCCCTCCGGTCTTCACGAAGACACCCACCGTGGGGTGGTCCACGCCTGGACGCGCGACGCCGTTCCTGGACGCGTCGCGGAAGACGTGTGAGGACAACAAGAGAGCAGAACGAGAACACGAGCACCACAAGAACCGACGCCACGACCATCAAGTGCAGGAAGAAAACAAAACAGACTGGAAACTGAACTGCAGCGAAGCTTTCAAAAGCTGAGCTTTTCACAGAAACGGAAGTCTGGCGCTGCCAGATGTGTAGCTTGGAGCTCCAGCCTGACGCGAGCAGCTTTGCAATACTCACTTGGCTGTGAATCTTAGTTGGAATCCCGATGGAAATATGTGTGTTTGTGTTCCCTGTTGTTGAGGGTCCCTCCATCATGGTGCTTTGCTCTTTTGGTGTCCCTTCAAAAACCACGAAACGATGGGTACGGGGAGGGAAAAAACACTCCCACATGATGTCCAATAGGGTCTTTTAAGATTCTGCAAGCCAAAGGAAAGTCCGCTTGGATGCCAGGCCAATGGGTGGTACTCGATGGCACCTGCTTCAGGACAATGGCTCCTGGCCGCTCGAAGCCGAGGACGAAGCCGGCGAAACCGCTGGCCATAGGGTCCAAATCCTAAGCCAAATCGTAGCCCCAGGGAACATCCGATCCAATCCAACCACTAAGAAAAGGCTCTAAAATGGGTGCTGAATTCACCTACCCCAATTGGGATCCCATTGGTTTTGACCCATAGCCAGCTGATTGTTTCCTTCATTCCTTTCGTTTGGCGCAGAATGGACTCTTCCAGCCAGCTTTCTTGCCATGACCTTCGCCAGAAACATCTTAGTTTCGAGACTGTCTCTATTGCCAGCTCCATTGTGGGCGAACTGTGACTACACCGCTGCGAAGCCTCTTCTAGAGGTTTGGGCAAACGTGGATTAGGTTGCCAAGGGCGTCCATGCTTCCACCAGTTTGAGCAAACACGATGCACTTCTAAATGTGGGCTCCACTTATTGGCTACGCTCCCGCTGAGTGGGATCTGATCACCTGGCAAATCGGGGCGAACTTGTGTGAGTCCATTGCCCGCTCCTGGGAAAACCTCCGCAATTTGGCAAACAACGCCGGGGCTGCCGGACCAAGAAAGCGGGGCGTCGGCATATAATATGGGCAACAGCGGCTGAAGTCTTCAAATTCTGCAATGCTAAAAGTTGAGGGCAGGCGCAGCACGCCCTAGACATCCGAAGAGAATAAGCTCATCATATCCTCCTTCCGTCTGCAAGCAATGAGCCAATCTCTGTAAACTCTGCAACAATTCCAAAACCTGGAAGAGGACTTGCTCATTTTACCCCGAATCGGTGAGCCGCCACAACATAGGCAGGCGTTTCGTGTCAAGATCGAGGCCCGCCAGAATTTGCAAACTTTACTATACTTCCAAAAGCTGAATTAAGTGATGCTCAAAGACCGCCCAGCAAATGAACTTGTGCAATTGGCTTGTGAATCCTGGCTAGTGAAGTGTGTAGCCGCTTTTGGAAGAAGAACCCTTGGCAATGCATCCGGGGGAAGAAACAAAAAAGGAAAACAAAAAACGAGAAGGAAACAAAAACAACAAAAACAAAACAAAACGGAAGAACGGCGCCGAGGGAGGCCTTGGCCCTGGCCACAGCTGGGCGCCAAACCGGGGGAAGCCGCGGTGATGGCGCAGCCGGCGCTGAGCTGGCGGGTGAGGGGTGGAGCTACCCCTGGTAGACGACCAAAAAGGACACCCAGCAGGTTTTTAATGGGGGGTGGTACACGACCAAAAACCCAGCAGGTTTTTAATGGGGGAGTTGTCCTACAAAAACAGGACGCGCCATGAGATTGGGCCCACGAAACAAAAGACGAAGGGGAAGATTCCTGTGACTAGGAGTCCTTTTCTCCGGCTTTCAGGCGCGACGCCCAATCGAACCCCCAGATAGTACCTGACATCACCTCCCATCCGGGTCCTTCTTTTGATGAGGGTATCTTTCTTGCAGGTTAAAGGGAAACTAAAAGGAACTTCAACCCTCTCTTGTTTTTGGGTGTTGGTTTCCTTGTGGGGTTGGGTTTTCGAGGGAAACCACCAGGCACACCTGGCCGCCCGGCGTTCTTTGGGGTCGCTATCAGACAGCGCCTGGCCTGAGAGGTGAAGAGCTGCAGCTCCAAGCTCACGTTGGCAGAGCCGATGTCCAGAGGAGGTGGCTCAAAGGACAAGACCAGCTGGCTCGAGGTGAACTCAACACCTTTGACTCAGTCCAAGATGGGTCCCCCCGTTGATCCAGTGGCTTCCCTTCAAACCGCTCGAATTGACCATAGGTGTCCTTTTTAGTTGAAAATAGGTAGATGATTAAATTACCAGGTAAACCAGGGCCATCTATTTTCCGACCAAAACAACCCAAAAGGACACCTATGCCTTTGACTCAGTCCAAGTTGGTATGGGTCCCCCCGGTGATCTAGTGGTTTCGGTTTTCCGGTGGCTTCCCTTCAAACCGCGCGGAAAAAAAAAAGAAGGAAAAAACAAGGGAAAAAAAAAGACACAGGCCCATGGTCCCAGGAGATGTTCTCCATCGTCAAGAGAAACTGTCCACTCGAAACCAAGAATGCAAAGCAAATGCCAAAAGATGAGACGTTTTCCCCGAAAGGGACATGTGAGGAGCCTGTTGAACCAGAACAAGTACCACACATGACACACGGTGCAAACTGCCAGTGCGACTCAGCTGCCGTGCCAAACGTTGAGAGATGCATGGGGCAAGCTCTGCGAAGCTCGCCTTGGCGCAACATGAAAGCCATCCCGGCCATGTCAACGATTCAATGCGTGGGTGCGGGCTGCGAGATGGCTTCGACCAACTGCTTAGTGGATTCTCGGATTCTCAGGTTCTGACGGATGGGAATCCACCTGCCTGATGTTTATACCTACTCCGCCCGGCCCCCCCCCCCCCGGTAATTATTCCCCACCCCCCCCGAGCCCCAGCACTTTGTGCACCTTCGTAATTCGACCCCTGAACCGCAGGCCGCTGCTACGTGTGGGCTCCGTAGTATTGAAGTCGAACATTCTCGCGTATTTTTATATACATATATATATATATATATATAGTGTACATATATATATATATATAAATATACACATGGTCCAGCCCCCCACCCCCCCACCACCCCCCCGGTACGACATCTGACAGAGGACAAAGAAGAATACGTACGCATGAGAAAATGCGAGCGCGTCTTGCAGGAAATGGACACATCCAAAAAGTGCAGCCTTCTGCGGGTTTCAGTTTTTGGGGATGCTCGAAAGTTACCGCCGCAAGCGGCCCAAGGTCAGCCTGACCAAGGCCGGCAAACTGAGCCACGAGAGGCGCGCCGGCTCCACATGCTCCGCATCTGTCTGAGCGCCACGACAGCTACGAGCTGCACCAGCAGTCATGTCTGAATGACCTCCTCTGCATAGCGCCTGTGGCGCAAGGGTTGTGAGCTGTTCTGGAGGCGGGTTGTCTCCATCTCTGCTCGACGGAGAGCAATCGGCAAGCTGGCCTCAGATCAAACTGTCCCTCGGCCTCGGCAGCCCTTGAACCATCGGGGTCGCGTGGCTCAGCTAGGTCCGTCTGGGCGACTGCGTCTCGGCGAGCGTGAAGTAGGCCCTGAGGATCTGGCCCGAAAGCTGGGAAGCTCCGAACATCAGCTTCCTCGAATTTTGAAGATGCGCGTGTTGAAGACGAAGATCACTTCCAGCCCTTCTCAGCGCCATCTCGACGAGATCGTAGGTGACCCGTCTGGAGATTGGGCCTCAGCAAAGGGAGGCCCTAACCATCGCCGAACATACGTGGCAATCAAGTGAGCAGGCTCGATTGTCGCTGGCCCCTCGAAGCCCATATAATGTATCACCACCGCATCGAACGCTTTCCCTGAGCGCATCCGTGATAGCCGCAGATCTGCGCGGTTGCAATTTCAGACGGCAGGGACTAAGCCAACGAGCACCCAACCATAACGAAGTTGCCGTGGCCTGGTTGATCCAGCAGCAGAACCGTCTTTCGCACCTTTGAAGACTCCCACACTCGATGGGCCGTGTCCTCTTTACGGAACTCGCAGGCCCTAAATCGGCTTGCTAGTCTACCCTGGCGACCTTCTGAATTGTTTTTCACGACCTGAAGGGGTGAAGCCAACATCATACTGGAAAAGAGGGGACCCTCGTGAGAGGGCAACCGTGTTGGCTTCAGATGGGACGAGCTGAGGACCTTCACAGATCTGCTTGCTTCAGCGGGATCATCGACGGCACATGTAAAGGAACCAGTTGCGTTTGATGCGGACCGGGTGAGTAAATGTCGGGAGATGCGCGTGGCCGGCATATGGCTGGTGATCAGCCGGTCAGCGGCATCCGGCTGACCGGTGATCCAGGAGCATGTGACAAAATTGCTCGGCTGTGCGCCAGCCATCGCGCGGCATGGACTTCACCCCGGATCCAAGGTGCACTGTTCAGGGCCAAATGGCGAGAGGGTTTACATCACTCACCCGGCCGACCGGCCGACCGGGGAACTTGACCAAGCTGAACAGGGGTACTGACGGTAGCGGTCACGTGCCCACATGCTTTGATCATGCATGTCAACAAACGAACGATCAAGCTGCGTGCTAAAACAATCAGGTGTGCTCCCAGTCCGTGAAAGTGAATCTGTGACGTCATCGGAAGAGGGGGTTCGAGTTAGAGGAGCCAATAGGGAGAGGGGCCCACACTGATCCACATGTTCCAGCCCACTTAACCGAAAACATGTAAACCATTCAATGCAACCTTGCGGCAACAGCAGCAGCCAGTGCCAGTGACACGATTGCCCAGGCAGCATACTACATGGCGGCCGGACCGTTGGCCAAGCGTTGGCCAAGATCAGCTGGCAGCGACGCTGCAATGCTTTTGTGGGCGTCAAATAGCGGGTCCACCATTCTGAGGGAATCCCTTGTTGCCTGTTCTAGGTGACTCTGCGGACCAAGTTTCAGAGTGGGAGAGGATCCGCAATTGGCATCAAGAAGAGAGGTCTGCTTGAACAAAGCACTGCACTCACCAAGGAGAACATCAAAAAAGGATATGATATGGGACAGACAAAACGGCCCCACGCCAGGCTTGAGCTGGGACCATCCCCAACACAACAAACCTGATCTCAAATAAACCTTTTGAGCTGCCTGACTTGAGCCACCCCTTTCACCTCCTCAAGTCCGCGCTCAATCAGCATACGCTGCAAACATTGACTGCTGGCACACGCGAGCGCCCCTCACTTCCTCTGCCTTGCTCGCGCTCTCGCTCTCGCTCTCGCTCTTTCTTTCTTTCTTTCTTTCTGTCTTTCTTTCTTTCTTTCTTTCTTTCTTTCTGTCTTTCTTTCTTTCTGTCTTTCTTTCTTTCTTTCTCTCTCTCTCTCTCTTCACTCTTCCATATTGAAATCTCGCGTCTCACCCTTCTTTATCCTTGCCCTTTGTTTGTAGTTTTTTATTTTTATTTTTTCGAGTGCTTTAGAGGACCCCTCCAAGATGGTGTTCCTTTTAGTTTCGCTTTTGAAACCACCAACCAAAACGGGCACCCCTCCCCACCCCCCCCCCCCCCGGCACCCCCTATTAAAAAAAAACAGACAGAACCTCCTACTTTGGGAAACCCTTCATGCCGTCTTCACCCACTTTTTCCAACCAACTGTCACAGACGCGTAAGCACCAGGGAGCCGTCCTGGCAGCTGTTGATCGAGATCGGTGCAGCTTGGGTGGGCCACACATCTGCTAGGGTCTGGCGGGTCGCAAACGCACCCCAAAATGCCCTGGCAAACTAAAACCAGCGTTTTTGTTTGTGGTTCAACTCTGACCCATACCCACTTTAGGCTTGGCGAAGCAAGCTTGTGTGCTTTAAAGGGACATAATTTTGCAGGGTCCCCTACAAAGCGACATTTTAAGGTATGGGGGCCAGGCGGGGTTCTTAGACTTGCGAGACCCGTTGAACCGGGGTTCCTTTCGGATGCTGCAAGTGCTCAGATACACGTTCGATAGAACCTGTTTATGGTCCCCTGATGGAGCACACCCGGCAGAAGTAGCAGGCAGTAGCAAGCTGCAACAGGGAGCCAAGTTGCAGCGAAAGCAATCATACCAGCAATGAAAAGTTCAAAAGCGACGTGGCCGCAGCGGCGACGATAGATAGATAGATAGATATATATATATATATAGAGCAACAGTGTGTTGCGACACGTGCGTGGCGTTCATCCCATCCGTAAGTAAAAGCTGCATTCTGTACCAGGGTCCGTTCTACCTAATTATGGAGCCGGGCTCAGTGCCCTCTGCCCTGCAGCAGCCGGATGCCCGGCCGAAAATAGATAGCGCGGATTCCAAAATTTGAGACGACACCAAAGGTTGTTACACAACAGATTTCGATATTGCATTTCGCGAATAACTCGTTCTGCTTTTGACAGTCTTTGTCATTGTTGACTAAGTTAAAGCGGTCGATACCCCCATCATCACCAGCGCGTCGGTCGAGGAAACCGCTTCTTCGCCGACTAAAAGTTTGAAGCTTGAGGCGATTCCAGGTAATTACGCATGTGAGGCAAGGCGCAAATTGGCAGAATCGTCTGTAGTTTGTTTATTTTTGTCACGCGGTTTCAATCGCAGTGACATCCATTTTAGTATGCGTTTTCTTTGCACAAATACTGTTGATGCTGGGGTGTCGACCACTTTAGTCTACCAGTAAAGCAGACATGCTTTTCCGCCTACTAAAAGTAGATGCCGTAGACTACAACGTTCGCACGCTAGAATAGATAGACAGTTAGACAGAAAGACAGACAGACAGACAGACAGACAGACAGACACACAGACAGACAGGCAGGCAGGCAGGCAGGCAGGCAGGCAGACAGACAGACAAACAGACAGACAGACAGATATGAGAATAGATGGGAATAGACTGGAATAGATTAGAATAGATTCAAGTAGAATAGATTAGAGTAGATTGGCACACGCTAGAATAGATAGATAGTTACAGAGACAGACAGACAGACGGACAGACAGACAGACGGACAGACAAACAGACAGATAGACAGACAAACAGACAGTCAGTGAGTCAGACAGTCAGACAATCAAATGAACAGACAAGCTGGCTATCTATCTATCCATATTTCTTTCTTTATTTCTTTCTTTGATTCATTCTTTCTTTCTAGATTTTCAAGCAATCTATCTATCTATCTATCTATCCATCTATCTATCTATCTATCTGTCTAGTCTCTCTAACTATCTGTCTTTTTATCTATCTATCTATCCATCCATCTATCTATCTATCAAACTGTTTGTCTGTCTGTCTGTCTGTCTGTCTGTCTGTCTGTCTGTCTGGCCTGGCGGTAGATAGATAGACACATAGATGGATAGATAGATAGATAGATACTAGATAGATAGATAGATAGATAGATAGATAGATAGATAGATAGATAGATAGATAGATAGATAGATAGATAGATAGATAGATTAGATAGATTAGATAGATTAGATAGATAGATAGATAGATAGATAGATAGATAGATAGATAGATAGATAGATAGATAGATAGATAGATAGATAGATAGATAGATAGATAGATAGATAGATAGATAGATAGATAGATAGATAGATAGATAGATAGATAGATAGATAGATAGATAGATAGATAGATAGATAGATAGATAGATAGATAGATAGATAGATAGATAGATAGATAGATAGATAGATAGATAGATAGATAGATAGATAGATAGATAGATAGATAGATAGATAGATAGATATATAGATAGATAGATAGATAGATAGCTAGGTAGATAGATAGATAGATAGATAGATAGATATATAGATAGACACATAGATAGATAGACGGATAGATAGATAGATAGATAGAGATAGATAGATAGAGATAGACACAGATAGATAGAGATAGATAGACAGATAGACAGATAGATAGATAGATAAATAGATAGATAGATAGATAGATAGATATATAAGATACATATACTATATAGATAGCTAGATGGATAGATAGATAGATGGATACGATAGATAGATTAGATAGATAGATGGATAGCTAGATGGATGGAAAGATAGAATAGATGGACTAGATAGATTATATATCTTAGATAGATAGATAGATAGATAGATAGATAGATTGATAGATAGATTGATAGATAAGATAAGATAGACAATATAGATACGATATAATATAACATAATATAATATAATGTAATATAATAGATAGATAGATAGATAGATAGATAGATAGATCGATCGATCGATAGATAGATAGGTAGATATATATATAGATATATATGTAGATAGATAGATAGATGTATAGATAGAGAGATAGATTAGATTAGATTATATTAGATTAGATTAGATTAGATTTAGATAGATAGATAGATCGATAAGACGGATAAGACAGATAAGATAGATAAGATAGATACGATAGATAGGATAGATAAGATAAGATAGACAAGATAGATAAGATAGAATAGATAGATAGATAGATAGATAGATAGATAGATAGATAGATAGATAAATAGATAGATAGCTAGATAGATAGATAGATAGATATATTGATAGACAGATAGATAGATAGATAGACAGGCAAACAAACAGACAGACAGACAGACAGACAGACAGACAGACAAGATGGATGGATGGATGGATGGATGGATGGATGGATGGATGGATGGATGGATGGATGGATAAATACATAAATATATTAGATAGATTAGATAGATTAGACAGATTAGATAGGTTAGATAGGTTAGATAGGTTAGATAGGTTAGATAGAACAGATAGATTAGATATCTTAGTTAGATGGATATATAGATAGATAGATACATAGATAGATAGATAGAACCATAGATAGATAGATAGATTGATTGATTGATAGATAGATTAGAGTAGACTAGATTAGACTAGATTTGATTATATAGATCGATAGATAGAGAGAGATAGATAGATAGATCAAAGTATAGATAGACAAACAGACCGATGGATAGATAGATAAATAAATACTAGGACACATGTGTATACGTGTGTACACATATAATGTGTATATGTGGAGAAATATATATTTGTAGGCATGTGTTTCGACCCCCTTTTCGCCCACCGGCCCTGTGCTTTGATCGCTGGCCCCCTTCCTGGCCACCAGTAAGCAGGTGCCGCTGAGCCAGGAGCGAGGCGCAGCTTAAGGCTTTGCCGCCCAGCACTGAGCCCACCTCTGAGCCCGAAATTTCTGGAAACCCATGGTACGGTTCGGGGCGGGCAGCTGAATGGGGTTCCTTAGGGTTGGGGCCCCTGTGGGAGCAGTAGGACCACCCGCGTGACTCGAAGGGCTCCCTAGAATTTCCTGTCGGAGTCGGACTTTCCCCCCACCTGCTAGGGACTCCATAGTAAATCTTGCAAGGGATCCACCAACCACTTGGGAGGGTAGGAATGACCCCCATGAACCCATCCCTGTCGTCAGTGAGGCATGATCAGTTGCACTGCGGCCTGACCTCCCCATGTGGTTTTCCCATAAGCGCTTGTGATATTTGGCCATGGTTATGGCAGATTGGTTGACTTTTTGATTTCCTGCTACCAATGATTTGTCTCTGTCGGTTCGTGGGTACTCTTTTCAGCTTGGTTGAAAGTTTAAAGGAAAACCAAAGCGAAAGCCAATGCCATTCTTCGGCACCGCCAACATCTTGACACATACCCATTTTGTTAACTGCCCAAGCGAACAACCAACTAGCCTTCGGCCAGGGGTTTTGGGCACAGCGAGTCAAATTTAGGGAACTAGCTAGAGTGACCCTTTACCAACCAGTATCAGGTTCTTCGAGAGACTGCTTGGAGGTTCATTCTCACATTCCGTCCGAGCCAGCTATTCTGGAGCGGCAAAAAGAGATTCGGTGGCAAGAAACCAACCACCAGGCAACCCGAACTGCCGATTTTTTTCTCGTTTCCCGGTATCCCGGGATCCGGATCGGAAGATTTGCAGGTTCCCTGTTTTCAGACAAAGCTTGGTGAGCCGTCATTTGGTGGAGAGTGGTTTCCATGCTCTTCTCTGCGTAAGTGGCAGATGTTGTGTCAAATCACCGCACAACCAATGCCCATCTCAGCAGCTGGCCCCTCTCACTGGACTGTGAAGCGCGGGAACTGTGTCCAGCAGCTCCAGATCTGAGTGATCGAGTTTTGGAGTTGAACCCAAGCCGAGCTGCAAGTTCTGCTTGCAAGTCAATTGAGTTGGGTTTACCCGTTTTTTTGCTGACGTTTGCCTACTTCCGTGAATTTCACAGTGTTCCCCAGTTGTTGGGTTTACCAGTTTTCCCTGACGTTTGCCTAGTTCCGCCAATTCCATGTTCACTCCTGCCTTTTGCAGGCCATTCCTGCTTTCTGATTCATGCATTTGAAACCCCAGAAACTCCTCGTTTTCAGAGGGCTCCTGGAAATAACTCGGACAACGAACAAGCAGAGAAATACTTACCGCGGAGACAGAGGACCAAGGGTTGTTTGTTGCGAACGATCCGACCGCCGATTCGCCGATTCGATCTGAGGTTGAATCTTCGGAGACTCCAGAGCTTCAGCTCAGCCGCATCACTCAAGGTGGCCAGCTGCCCCGTCCTGGGCGTTGAATGGGCGTGTCTTGAAGTAGGACCCTCCCCAAAATCCGCCGACCCCTTCTCCTCAAAGGGGGAGGCGCACGGGAAGGGTGGTTGCAGTACAAGCGCATGGATTAATCTTTGAGGCAAGCATATAACTACTGGCATCATACGGATGCCCATCATCATCATCATCATCATCATCATCATCATCATCATCATCATCATCATCATCGATATGATCCTTCATCATTCTTATCGTCAACATCATCATCATCATTTCTATATCCTTCAACATCATCATCCTCGTCATCATCCTCATTTTTTGATATACGTTTCAATTGTGGCGTTAGAGAGGGTTTGACATGCAAAAGCTGCGTGGACATGATGATCATGATGACTGCCCCCCCCGGCCCCTGAAGATTGGGGCTTAACGCCCCGCTCTGGCCCATTGTAGCTGCCACACAGGGGACTCATTTAGGCTTGGGCGCAGGGGGCGCTATCTCAAAAAATGAGCCCCTTACTTTTCGGCACAAGGAGTGCTAGGGATACTGGGCCCGTGGGGTATTGGCAATGCAGAGGATGCTACAACGATAGTTATGATCACAGTCCTCATCCTTATCATCACTAGCATCAGGTCATCATCATCTCTTATTAGCCGGCGCTGGTGATGCCGAGGATGCTACGATGATAGTTATCATCACAGTCCTCATCCTTGTCATCATTATCATCATGGTCATCATCATCTCTTATTAGCTGGCACTGGTGATGCCGAGGATCATCGTCTCTTAGTAGCCGGCACTGGTGATGCCGAGGATGCTACGATGATAGTTCTCATCACAGTCCTCAGTATCATCACGGTCGTCACCATCTCTTATTAGGCAGCACTGGTGATGCAAAGGGTGTTACGATGATAGTTATCATCATAATCATCATCATGATCATCCTTATTATGATGTCATCGCTCTTCTCATCATCATCATGATAGTTATCATCATAATCATCCTTATTATGATGTCATCGCTCTTCTCATCATCATGATGCTCATCATCATCTCATTCTTGTTCAAGGGCTGCCGCCCAGTGCCGCCGACCCCTGGATTTAGTTGTGGTTTTCGAGCAACCAAAAACACTGCCCTTGGTTTTGGTTTCTTCGGTTTCTTGCGAATGATGCGTAGTGATGATTATCATCAAGGCAGGACTCCAAACCTCAATGACCCAAATGGCATCTGAGGCGAGGTGCCGTTTCGACAGTGATGCATAGTCATGATTATGATCATCGCTGCTGGAGATGCTGGGGATGCGTAGTGATGATTATCCTCATGATTGCCACAGATGCTGCGAATGATGCGTAGTGATGATTATCATCAAGGCAGGACTCCAAATCTCAATGAGATGCGTAGTCATGATCATCGCTAGGCACCCTTGGTAATGCAGAGGATGCTACGATGATAGTGATCATGTCATGACAGGGATCATTTGTTGCCCAGCAAGTCACAGTCCCTGTTCGTGTCTTCAAAAATGCAAACAAAACCCTGAAATACAAGATTAGCCTTTTGGGGCCACTAACATTTCACCCAAAAGAAACCAAAACCAAGGGCACTGTTTTTTGTGGCTCCAAAACCACAACTAAATCCAGGGGTCGGCGGCACTGGGCGGCAGCCCTTAAATCCGGCCACCGGACGTGATCGGGCCGCAGGCCAAAGCCCGGTAGGGCTTACCTTCAGGTATAAGGCCGCGCGCCCCATGCCGCCGACCATGCGCGGACCATGCGCAGAACATGCGCATACGTTTTATGCTGGGCCCTCCCTTATAAGGGGCGAAGGATTTGCGGATTTGTTTAAGCGATTTTTGAGGAGTTTTGTAGCATCTCCCCGCAGAGTCACAAAACGAGCGCTTCTTGGGGGGTGCCTAATACTGGACAACACCCCCAGCATTGCCAGCATCATTCCGGATGATGCAGATGATGCTATGCATGCTGGCGATGCGAAACAAGGGGTTGATGGGAAATGCAAGGAAGCAGGAGTGACTGGAAGTGAACAAAATGAAAGTCAAAGGAATGGCACGAAAAATGGGGAGGGCACTGGAGAGAAACCGAGATGCAGGAAAATGCAAGGGCAGAACGTGAAGGGGACCGGACAGAATGCGTATAAAGGAGTCTTCAAGGAAATGAAGGGACATGCCAGGAAACTGTCAGGGAAGACATGCAAAGGAAAAGTTCATTCAAATCATCCCGAAAACTAGCAGGACTTGGAGGGAAAGGAAATCAAAGAACGGGAAGGGGTGCCCGGTGCCACCGGACGTGACCGGGCCGCAGGCCAAAGCCCGTTAGGGCTTACCTTCAGGTATAAGGCCGCGCGCCCCATGCCGCCGACCATGCGCAGACCATGCGCAGAACATGCGCATACGTTTTATGCTGGGTCCTCCCTTATAAGGGGCGAAGGATTTGCGGATTGGTTTAGGCGATTTCCGAGGATTTTTGTAGCATCTCCCCGCAGCGCCCAAAACCGAGGTCAAAAACGAGCATTTTAGGGGGTGCCTAATACTGGACAACACCCCCAGCATTGCCAGCATCATCCCGGATGATGCGGATGATGTTATGCATGCTGGCGATGCGGGTGATGCTGGGGATGTTGTCCCCTAAGTCGGGCCAATTTTGCCGAAAACGTGCAACCTGAAAATCTTAAAATCTAAAGTGGATGGAAAATGGATGGAACATGGCCTGGATTGAAATCTCAAAATCCTAAAGTCTTAGATTCTTAAAATCTTAAATTAAGATCTAACAATCAATCTTAGAATCTTAAAATCTGAAAATATAAAAAATAACTCCTAAAGTCTTCGAATCTTGAAACCTTAAAAACCTTATGTCATAGAATCTTGAGATCTTAAACTCTTAAAATATGAAATTCCTAAAGTCTTACAATCTTAAAATCTCAGAATCTTAAAAAGCTTTAACAACTTAAATTCTTTAAACCTCGAACAATTGAAATCTGAAAATCTTAAGTTATTAAAATATTACCTTCCTTCAATCCGGGCTATATTTTAACTTCCTTAAACTCTTAATCTTGAATTTTTGAAATCTTGAAACCTTAAGATCTTAAAATTACAACCTCTTAAGATCTTAAAATCTTAAATTCCGAAAGTCGCCAAATCTGAAAATCTCGCCAAAAATAAAATCTTAAAGCCTTCGAAATCTGATAATGGATGGAAAATGGCTGGGCAATGGCCTGGCTGTTATAACCTTCAAACACCTTAAGTCTTTGAATCTTAAAACCTTAATTCTTAAACCATTGAAGCCTTAAATTCCAAAAGTCTTCAAATCTGAGACCCTTAGAATCTCAAAGTGTTTAGAATTGTTTAATCTTAACATCTACTCATCGGACTTACCGGAAAGGGAAGTGACAGAACGGGCAGGGCAAGGTGCCCGGTGGCCGGCTGTGTCGCGTCAGCGTGTAAATCCGGCCACCGGACGTGATCGGGCCGCAGGCCAAAGCCCGGTAGGGCTTACCTTCAGGTATAAGGCCGCGCGCCCCATGCCGCCGACCATGCGCGGACCATGATCAGAACATGCGCATACGTTTTATGCTGGGCCCTCCCTCATAAGGGGCGAAGGATTTGCGGATTGGTTTAGGCGATTTTTGTAGCATCTCCCCGCAGCGCCCAAAAACGAGTCCAAAAACGCATAATACTGGACAACACCCCCAGCATTGCCAGCATCATCCCGGATGATGCGGATGATGTTATGCATGCTGGCGATGCGGGGGATGCAACCTGAAAATCTTAAAATCTAAAGTGGATGGAAATGGATGGAAAATGGCCTGGATTGAAATCTCAAAATGCTAAAGTCTTAGATTCTTAAAATCTTAGATTAAAATCTAACAATCAATCTTAGAATCTCAAGATCTTAAAATCTTAGAACTTAGAATCTTAAAATCTAAAAATATAAAAACTTCCTAAAGTCTTCGAATCTTGAAATCTTAAAAACCTTATGTCTTAGAATCTTGAGATCTTAAACTCTTAAAATATGAAATCTTAGAACCTTAATTCTTCAACCATTGAAACCTTAAATTCCGAAAGTCTTCAAATCTGAGACCCTTAGAATCTCAAAGTTTTTAGAATTTTAAAATCTTAACATCTACTCATCGGACTTACAGGAAAGGGAAGTGACAGAAACCCTCATGTCTTTGAATCTTCAGATGTTAAAATCTTAAAATATGAAATTCCTAAATTCTCAAAATCTTAAAATCTCAGAATCTTAAAAGCTTCAAAAACTTAAATTCTTTAAATCTCGAACTATTGCAGTCTGAAAATCTTAAATTCATAAACAAGTAAAATATAATAAAATTCCTTCAATACGGGCTATATTATTCTAAATTCCTTAAACTCTTAATCTTCAAATTTTGAAGTCTTGACATCTTAAGATCTTAAAATCTTAAATTCCGAAAGTCGCCAAATCTGAAAATCTCACAAAAAATAGAATCTTAAAGCCTTCGAAATCTGATAATGGATGGTAAATGGCTGGGCAATGGCCTGGCTGTTATAACCTTCAAAAGCCTTAAATCTTCGAATCTTAAAACCTTAATTCTTCAACCATTGAAACCTTAAATTCCGAAAGTCTTCAAATCTGAGACCCTTAGAATCTCAAAGTTTTTAGAATTTTGAAATCTTAACATCTACTCATCGGACTTACAGGAAAGGGAAGTGACAGAAACCCTCATGTCTTTGAATCTTCAGATGTTAAAATCTGAAAATATGAATCTCGAACTATTGCAACCTGAAAATATTAAATTCATAAACAAGTAAAAATATAATAAAATTCCTTCAATACGGGCAATACTTTAAATTCCTTAACCTCTTAATCTTCAAATTTTGAAGTCTTGACATCTTAAGATCTTAAAATCTTAAATTCCGAAAGTCGCCAAATCTGAAAATCTCACAAAAGTACAAGCTTAAAGCCTTGGATGGAAAATGGCTGGGCAATGGCCTGGCTGTTATAACCTTCAAAAGCCTTAAATCTGTGAATCTTAAAACCTTAATTCTTCAACCATTGAAACCTTAAATTCCGAAAGTCTTCAAATCTGAGCCCCTTAGAATCTCCTCATCGGACTTACAAGGGAAGTGACAGAACGGGCAGGGCAAGGTGCCCGGTGGCCGGCTGTGTCGCGTCAGCGTGTAAATCCGGCCACCGGGGGGCTTCAGACCCCGTGGTCCGTGATACGGCCGAAGGCCTAGGCCCGCAGGGCCTACCTTCAGGTATAAGGCCGGCCGCCCTGTGCCGCCGACCCACCGCCGAACTTTTGCGCTGCGCCAAGCTGGGCCCACCCTTATAAGGGCCGAAGGATTTGCGGATTTGTTCAAGGGCTTTTTGAGCATCTCCCCGCGGAGTCAAAAAACGAGTGTTTTTTGGGGGGTGCCCATAGTGGACAACATCCCCGGCATCACCTGCATCATCCGCATCCTTGGCGGACATTGATGCGGATGATGCCGGTGATGCGGGGGATGCTGGGGATGTTGTCCCCGAAGTCGGGCCAACTTTGCCGAAAACGTGCAACCTGAAAATCTTAAAATCTTAAAGTGGATGGAAAATGGATGGAAAATGGCCTGGATTGAAATCTCAAAATCCTAAAGTCTTAGATTCTTAAAATCTTAAATTAAAATCTAACAATCAATCTTAGAATCTCGAGATCTTAAAATCTTCGAACTTAGAATCTTAAAAACTGAAAATATAAAAACATCCTAAAGTCTTCGAATCTTGAAATCTTAAAACCCTTATGTCTTAGAATCTTGCGATCTTAAACTCTTAAAATATGAAGTTCCTACAGTCTTAAACTCTTACTCTTGAAATTTGGAAATCTTGAAACCTCAAGATCTTAAACTTACAACCTTAGAAGACCGAATCTTACAATCTGAAAATATAAACATCCTAAAGTCTTCGAATCTTGACTTCTTAAAACCCGAATATCTTTGAATCTTCGGATGTTAAAATCTAAAAATATGAACTTCCTAAATTCTCAAAGTCTTAAAATCTCATAATCTGAAAAGCTTTCAAAACTTAAATTCCTTAAATCTCGAACTATTGCAATCTGAAAATATTAACTTCTTAAACAAGTAAAATATAATAAAATTCCTTCAATCCGGGCTATATCTTAAATTCCTTAAACTCTTAATCTTGAAACTTTGAAGCCTTGAAATCTTGAGATCTTAAAATCTTAAATTCCGAAAGTCGCCAAATCTGAAAATCTCCGAAAAATAAAATCTTAAAGCCTTCGAAATCTGATAATAGATGGAAAATGGCTGGGCAATGGCCTGGCTGTTATAACCTTCAAAAACTTTAAATCGTTGAATCTTAAAACCTTAATTCTTAAACCATTGAACCTTAAATTCCGACAGTCTTCAAATCTGAGACCCTTAGAATCTCAAAGTTTTTAGAATCTGAAAATCTTAACATCTACTAATCGGACTTACAGGAAAGGGAAGTGACAGAACGAGCAGGGCAAGGTGCCCGGTGGCCGGCTGTGTCGCGTCAGCGTGTAAATATGTGGCCTCAGTTTACCCCTTGGCTTCCCGAAAACAAACAGACAAAACAACAACAAAAACAACGCCCCATTGCTGCCCTGACAAAACAAGCACCCCATTGGTCCCCTGAAAGCACACACGCACACACCAAAAAGAAAAAAAGAAACAACAAAAAACAAGTACACCCGGATGATTCCATAGGGGTCATTCCAAACACAGCCAGCATGACTCCA